TCTAGTCGGCTCAATTACGCAGCCATTTGCACACTATTATGTTTAAAAATTTGATACGGCTGTAACAACTTTTATCGGTGTGTTATTACAGAACCCATTCCCGATATTGACTGGTGGTCTCCAGAGTTTCCATTTAATTAGCCGTCGACTGGAATATGCGATAAACCCACGGGAAAATAATAATAATAATATTAAAAATAACAATCGTATTAGCAATAACAATAATAATAATAATAATTTATTTGTGTTTAGACGCGTTGCTACACAAAGCTTACATAATACTAGAGCATAACAGCAGCGAAATATCTTTATCACTAAAGAAATCGTCTTACGAATAATAGAAGAAATTCTCTCGGGATTGAAAGACTAACTTCTAGAAAATATTTTCCGAATTTACGGGCCCACCATTTCAAAATATACGATTCGATTTCTTGAAGTTTTTAAGTCGGAGTAACTGATCTTTTGTTGTGGATAAGGTAAACGTTCATGTTTGAGAGATCGATAAACCGGACAATGTCATTTTTCCGTAGATAGCACTAGAAAAATGCCAAACATAAGCCCCACCCACCCACCCTGTCTCAATTGTGACGCTTTATCTTTATTCGTCGTTAGTCAAGGGGGGCGGAGCTTAATGTCAAAATGCGCATTTTTCTACAAGAATTGTCATGTGAAACATATTCTTCAGTGATGGTGTTGCTCAGAGAAAACTACATGTATTAAGTAAAAAAAAAAAACAAAAAAAAAGATAGGCCCCACCCCGAGCTTTGTTTTTAATCGTGATGAATTTTCCATTTCGTTGTCAGACTGAGGGGCGGAGCGTAATTACAAAATCTATATTTTCTGTTTTAAACACGTTTTAAGTTTTCTGTTGCGAAAGAAGTCTACGAAGATTAAGAAAAAGGGGCAAAATATAAGCCCCGCCCACCCACCCTATCCCAATTATGATGATTTTTTTCTTATTCGTCGAGACCCAAGAAGGCGAAACTTAACTGCACAATCCTTATTTCTCTACGAGAAATTAAAAACATGTTTTTAAGTATCGTGTTGTTCAAAGAATACCATGTAAGTTAAGAAAAAAATGAAGCCAAAGATTAGGCTCCACCCATATCCGCCGCGACCACAATTCTCTATTGTGATGAATTTTTCATTCGTTGTCAGATCGACGGGCGGGGCTTAATTGCAAAATCCGTATTTATCAACAAGAATATTAAGCATGTTTTAAGTTTTTTGTTCTAAAAGGACGACTACGTACATCAAGAAAAAAGCCAAAATATAAGCCCCGCCCACCCGCCCTATCTCAATTGCGATGATTTTTTTCTTAATCGTCGAGAGACAAAGGAGCGGAATTGAATTGCAAAATTATTATTATTTTTCTACAAAAAATTATCATGTAAGACATATTTTTGACTTTCGTGTTATTCAAAAAATACTATGTATATTAAGAAAGAATTGTGGGTGGGTTGGGTTTATATGTAGCCTTTTGTTCTTAATATATAAGGTGTTCTTTGAACAAGACAATATTCAAAAACATATTTTTAATTTCTTGTAAAGAAATAAGTATTTTGCAGATAAAAATGATCACAATGGAGACAGGGCGGGTGGGCGGGCTTATATTTTGCCTTTTTGTTTTAACATGGTATAGACTTCTTTTCACAACAAGAAACTTAAAGCATGTTTAAAATGGAAAATTTGTATAAGGAAATTTTGCAATTAGGCTCCCCCCCATAATTGCAAAATCCCTAATTCCTTGCAAAAATGAACCATTTTAACCATGTTTTAAGTTTTTTGTTGTGAAAAAATGGCTATGTACATTAAGAAAAATAGGGAAAAATTTAGCCCCGCCCACCCACCCTATCTCAATTGTGATGATTTTTTTTTATTCCGCGTGAGCCAAGAGGGCGGAGCTTAACTGTAAAATCGTTATTTCCCAACAAAAAATTAAAAAAATGTTTTTGAGTATCGTTTAATTCAAAGAATACTATGTAAATTAAGAAAAAAAGTGAAACCAAAGATTACGTCCCATCCAAACCCGCCCCAATCTCAATTCTCAATTGTAATAAACTTTTTATTCGTTATCCGAGCGAGGGGCGGGGCTTAATGGCAAGATCCATATTTATCTACAAGAATTTACCATTTTAAGCATGTTTTAGGTCTCTTGTTCTGAAAAGACGACTACATATATTAAGCAAAAAGGAAAAATATAAGCCCCGCCCACCCACCCTATTGCAATTGTGATGATTTTTTTTTTAATCGTCGATGGCCAAAGGGGCGGAATTTAATTGCAAAATCCGTATTTATCAACAAGAATTTACCATATTAAGCATGTTTTAAGTTTTTTGTTCTAAAAGGACGACTACGTACATCAAGAAAAAAGCCAAAATATAAGCCCCGCCCACCCGCCCTATCTCAATTGCGATGATTTTTTTCTTAATCGTCGAGACCCAAAGGAGCGGAATTGAATTGCAAAATTCTTATTATTTTTCTAGAAGAAATTATCATGTAGGTCATATTTTTGACTTTCGTGTTATTCAAAAAATACTATGTATATTAAGAAAAAATTGTGGGTGGGTGGGGTTTATATGTAGCCTTTTTTTCTTCATATATAGAGTGTTCTTTGAACAACATAATATTCAAAAACATATTTTTAATTTCTTATAAAGAAATAAGTATTTTGCAGATAAAAATGATCACAATGGAGACAGGGCGGGTGGGCGGGCTTCTATTTTGCCTTTTTGTTTTAACATGGTATAGACTTCTTTTCACAACAAGAAACTTAAAGCATGTTTAAAATGGAAACTTTGTATAAGGGAAATGCAATTAGCCTCCGCCCCATAATTGCAAAATCCCTAATTCCTTGCAAAAATGAACCATTGTAACCATGTTTTAAGTTTCTTGTTGTGAAAAGATGGCCATGTACATTAAGAAAAAACAAGGAAAAATTTAGCCCCGCCCACCCACCCTATCTCAATTGTGATGATTTTTTTTATTCATCGTGAGCCAAGAGGGCGGAGCTTAACTGCAAAATCGTTATTTCTCAACAAAAAATTAAAAAAATGTTTTTGAGTATCGTTTAATTCAAAGAATACTATGTAAATTAAGAAAAAAAGTGAAACCAAAGATTACGCCCCATCCAAACCGGCCCCAATCTCAATTCCCAATTGTGATGAACTTTTTATTCGTTATCCGATCGAGGGGCGGGGCTTAATGGCAAGATCCATATTTATCTACAAGAATTTACCATTTTAAGCATGTTTTATGTCTCTTGTTCTGAAAAGATGACTACATATATTAAGAAAAAACGAAAAATATAAGCCCCGCCCACCCACCCTATTGCAATTGTGATGATTTTTTTTAATCGTCGATGGCCAAAGGGGCGGAATTTAATTGCAAAATCCGTAGTATTTCTCTACAAGCAATTATCACGTAAACATCTTTTTGAGCATTGTGTTGTTCAAAGAATAATATTCATATTAAGTAAAAAATAAGGCCAAAGAATAAGTTCCACCCATACCCATCTCCACAAAAAAAAATTATAAACTTTAATAAATTCATGGATAAAAATTTGGAAAAACATCTGATTGTTAATTTATAACAGAAAAAAAAAGAGTGTTCCTATAAACACGAAGTTATTAAAAACAAATCAAGTTACAATTTCTTGTTAATTTTTTTACTATATTGATCTTGATATATGTATAAAATACATTCGTGTTGTAACTTTTCGTTGATTTTCAATTTTATTAGTAAAATCTATTAGTGTGCAATTACTCTTATAAATTATCATGACATTGTTAAACAATATTACACATAATTAATATTATTTGCAATATTTAAATGAGATAAGTATTAATATATGATAATTAAACCAAAAACATTTTTACTACAAGCCCGAAATTATTAAAAACAAATCAATTTGTTTAAACATTCTTAAATTAACCTCGAAAATAATTTCTGCAATCTCATGTGACGTACGATGACATCACTGTCACGAGCCACCTGAGCAAAGGTCACATTTTTCGGCTCTTTGTGTTCAATTTAGATTCCGGCCTGGTGGCAGCAACATCGGAGCTCTGTTTTGGCTTAAAAGTAGGACTCTTTTCGCCAATTTCTAATTTATTGCTTACGCTCAGAAGTAAAAAAGTCACATACAAAAGTTGTACACATTAAAATTATTTTCCACTGTACTGGGTGTTTCGTTGTGGTGGCATAGCACCCAATATATACCGTTGTGTGTTATTTTTCCGTTCTTTATACGTGAATTGAAAGCTCTAAAAATGTGTACCTAAAACTCAAAAAGTCAAATGAAACACTCTGTATATTTAAAAATAGTTTGAAATTGTAGCCCTAGGTGACTTCTGTCAGACTGAAGAGTTAAAGAATTTTTAAATAATTGTTTTTGAGACACCCTGTATAAGAGTATAATATGGGATTGATTAGATAGCAAGAGATAGAGAGACTTTTCGTTGACAAAAAATTCACTAAAATCATATTTAACAACCTGAGTTTGATGGCCACTTGAACAGAAACTTCTTCAGCGAAAATCTCGCAACCCTCATCTTCTAAATCCACTTGATTTATAATCCTATAAAGTTTTCGGATCAATACTTTGAAATTATATGTAAATATATGAAAATTGCTTCTAGTGGGTGTTTGTGTTTTAATTTTCAACAGTTTAATTGTGTTTGGGGGGACGCCTTAGCACGAAGGGGCTAGATCAGAGTTACACGTTTCCCGAATTTAAAATAAAAGCAACTTTTCCCAAACTAACTTTACGTCTAAATAAACAACAACTCAAGACAACAATAAACCCCCCTCTACATTAACACAACCCCCCAAAGGTCACCCGATACCCAGCACCACCGCCACCTCCGCCGCTCGCTGGCGTCCCTTCACTCGCCGAAAGTCAGGAAGCGCCGCCAACGTCTCGGGCCCATATTGGCGCAGGTCCGGGCGGCGTCGCGGCGCAAAACGCCGGCCCGGGCTCCAGTTCGACGTCGCGACGCGCCGCATACGCTCCGGACGAGTTCGCGCTGATTTCGCGCCGCTAGCGTCGACTTTTCGTGGAAAGGGATGAGTGTGGCGGCGTAAGTTCGAAAGTTCGCGGATTTTCCGAGGAGTGTCTGCCGGCGACCGGGGACTCAGGCGGCCGGTGGCGGCGATTCGCACACCTCTCCGACGCGGGTACGGGCGCTAAAAATACCGAGTGGGGCGGCGGGCCTCCGGCGGCGGTGAGGCGGATGTTGCGATGACAGTGAAGTGATTCGGCGGACGGGCACGGTCAAGAGGCGCGATGCTGCAGGAGGGGTTCCTCATAAAAATCGCCATCGTCTCGATGTTCATATCAACAGGTAAGGGGCGGCTAATTGGGGAGGGGGGGATTGGTTTAAAGTCGGGGGGCGGGCGGTGACTTGTTGAGTTTGAAAAGTTTTCGAAGATTGTTTTTAATTAAAAAAAAAAAATCAAAATGAAGAGCGTCAAGGACAGTCAAAAGTGAAATAAGAGTTTTTTTTTTTTGAATTTTAATTTCTTCTGTTTGTTAATATTACATGAAAAATAAAATAACAAGATGGCTACCTCTGAAAAATTAATATCAGAAAAGTAAGCAAATTATGCTGAAATGAACTTGAGACGTTTTCCTAAAGTTCTTAAAAATTCCTCATTTCTTAAGATTTTCAGGTAAATTCCATTTTCGCTGTTTGTCTTCCATTTAAAATCTCTGTGCTCGTTGTTTTATGGCTTTTAAACCCGTGTCTCGACGAAATCTCTGAATTTTTAAAATCCTTCATAGAGATAATGCATTTTTTTATACATAATTTATAGTGTGCTTTGAATGTCAAAGTTGAAATAATAACTTGTTTGAACAAGCATACATTGGTTAGGCAACACACAATACTTAGTTGTATACGTGTGATTTTTATTTCTATATAATTCTAGACTCTTCCTGGACTTGCTCGCCTCCCGTCGGTCCTAATATTAACAAAACTGTTATCAAAATTTTCCAATTTTTTGTAATTCTTGAAATTTCCCCCAAAAAAACATTGAAACAAACCCCCTGAATTTTTATTATCGTTCATATGCTATATACAAGTATCCGAAAACATCCGTCGATGTTTACACTCAAACTGTAAACACACTGATCAAATTAACGATCCCCACTTACAAAAACAACTCGTTCTCATGCAAATATTTGCTTTATCTGCCTCTCGAGCCGCATTTTTTTGAATAAATACCGCAATTATTCCAGTCGATCCGACTCGCGTTTTGTCAAACCTGCCTTATCCCTTCTGTCATATTCCGCAGCCTCCTTGATCCATTTAAAGTAGTTTTTTATTTAAATTCGGCACATGACATATGACGTTGGTTTTATTGAAAAATTCATCCATTCCGCCGCAAAACACTGCGGTTTTGCGTCAATTTTGATAGATTGGAGCAATTTTTTCCAAGGTGCGCCGGAGTTTTGTAGACATGGTGAAAAGAAGTGATGATGTTTGAAATTCGCTCTTATTTTGTGACGCGGGATTATTGATGGCTCGATTATGGATACTTTAGCGGGTTTAGTGCGATAGTGGTGTTGCAAATTGACAGTGAAAATGTGTGATCGAATTAGCGCTTGGAACAAATCGCGAGTGAGGTTATGTCGCAGCGTCTTGTCGCGGATTGTCGCCTGACCGCTGCAATATGAATAGATAATAGAAGGGTATAAATAATGGAGCAGCTTCACATTCTAAGCGGTGACACCCCATTATTTACTGGGATCGAGTTTTAGAAACATGATATTGTTGCGAAGGTTGCGACGACAATATTTTTTATTTAAAATCTGTCACATCGGGCGCCTGCTTTTTCGGATATCTTTATTTGACAAATAGCTATTATTTGCAAGAAAAACTCACACTTTTCAGAAATATAAGCGCGATATTCGTGTTGGATTTTCAGATCGCTATAAAATTCGACGCATAAAAAACGCGATCGATAAGTTGGGATTAAAGCGGATTATCGGAGTTATCAATCGATAAATTGGAGTTCAAAGTTAACTACTTTATTGCTGTGAATGCGGCTTCCGGGAACAAAAATCGTGAATGGATCACGTCATTGTCCGAAATAATCCAATTTAATAAAATGTTTGATAGCGTTATTTATGGGCCATAAAATTATAGCGGTGACGTTTTAAAGTGATTTAACGTGTTGTGTTAGTAAATATGCAGTTGCGATAAATTTAGGAAATTGCTGAGTGTCAAACTTAAATTTTCGTTTTTCCTTTATAATTATTTGTGTGATTGAAAATGCTCAAATCTCGGCGAAGCGAGAGGTCAGAGAGCTAAAATTCCGAAATTCTTTCAAGCTTACGTTGAACGGCTTCTCCTTTATGTCTGAACTTCCATTATTTGGAAACAGGGGTGCAAATAAAATTTAATTCTGATGAAGTTTGTGAAGAATTTTATCACTTTGAAAACTTTGCTGTAACTTATTTACGTAAAAGCGATAATTAAAAAAATCTTTTGTTGATGGCAACCAAATAAATTGAAAAAATGCTGTCTTTGTTTGTTACGGTTGTTTAAATAACGAAATAGACAAATAAATTACACTGAGTAGGTTCATTTTAGCGTATACGTCACACTACTTTCAAAATGGTGACTCTTAAGTCACAGCGTGCGTCGTCGGTAATGTAGAACTCTGCAGTGTAGATGCCGCTGGTGGCTAGTAGGGGGCGCTTTATTATGCTTCTAAAGTAGCCGAATTTTGCAGTTTTAAACTTTCTTCGTTATGTTTATATTTTTGGCACGACGATTCACTTTTTTTTGCTGATTCTTGATTAAAAATGCAGCGCCCAGAAAAAGTTGGCGTGGTTGTGAATTTTTGATGCGTCGGCCCCGCTTTCAGCATTCTAACTCAGCGACTTAATTGCCCGAGAAAAAAAATCTCCCATTATATAATCCCTCGTTAAGTAAACTCGGCACGCTAATTCGTACTCCAAGACAAAGAATTTTCCAGTTATTGACTGTTTGTCTGTTGACTTTTAACGCAATTCTTATCCTTCAAATTCCCGCGCCCATAACACCTTTTGTTATCTTTCGCCCCCTTAATCATCCGTATTTCATAGCACCCCGGCCTATCAGCTCCAAAATCATCATTTTTTTATTTGCAGAGCACCCCTCATCATTCCCGCTATCTCCGTCTTCAGACAAAAGTAGATCCCGCTGTATTCGTACATCTGATTGTGAAACGTTCACAATTAAATTTAATCTAATGCAAATGTCTTTCGCATGCCCCGGCGTCTCCGCCTTCCTTTAACATTTATGAAATTTGATAATTCCAGCGCAAGTTCCCGAAACCTTACACTAAATTAAATTAAGCCGAATTAGCCCGTTTTTCGCGTCTTCTGGTCATCGCTTTCCTTGATTAAAATCGATAGTCGGACGCACCCATCATCCATTACCCGTACGTGTAGATATCGGAATTCCATCAGCACCATGCCTGTCGCATCATTCACATCTTATGAATATGGTAATTTGGGAAAAAGCAGAGCGCGGGGAATTTCTTCGTAATCACCTCCGCATTACGGGCGTAATGAAGTCGCGGCTGGAGCGGGTCACGTGACGGCCGGCGCCCAATTAGCCGCTCCCACGTGTGCACTTGATACTTGACCGGGCTGCTGCCAGCACCTGTGATGAATCGCCCCGATTAAGCCGGGAACTTGTCGTTTTCTTGTCGCTGTTTGTTGGGGAAATTTCTAATTTCGACCGAATTATTTAGGAATTCGGCCGGCTGAAACTCATTAACAATGAAAATACTCACGTCAGGCCCTTGTAAACGTCGTTCGAGGCATCTGCTGCGTTATTAAGGGACGGGACACGATCTCATCGATAAACCATCGAAATTAACGCGACGATAATTGTTGCAACAACGGGGCGGGTTTACGGGGGAGTTGGGGATGCTTTTAGGAGAGAGGTGAAGTGCGTCGTAAAAATGGCGCAGGGTGGAGTCTTTAAAAAGGGTTAAGTGGAGGTTTTGCCGAAATTTGAGCGTTTTTAGCGAAAAATCAGAATTTAAGTAAATGATTTTGAATAACGTATGTTCTTTCAGAGTTTCGTTACAAAATAAATTAAAGCTTTCAGCGAAGTTTATCGAATTTAATGTTTTCGACAAAGATGCCGACTTCAAGGAATATTGTTAAAATTAGCACAATATGTGATCTAGAGACGATTTTTGAACAAATATACCTCTTATACAAATTAATTAAGTAATTTAATGTCTTGCACAAAAAATGGTGGAGGCGCCGGGCTAGACAATAATTTAAAAATGATTTGGTTCGAGAACTTGCGAAGATTTTCTTTCTAAAATAATACATTTTAGCAGAAAATGTAGATTTCTCTTGATATATTGCTATCTGAACACAATTACACAGCAAACCCAAATTTTCCATTCAAGAAAATTGAATTCTTCTTGAGCTTATTTCACCGAATTTAATATTTGTCACAAATACGGCCTACGTCTTTTATGCAATCGTAAAATGAATACAATGATCTAGAGATGGTTTTTGTACAGAATTATCTGTTTTCCGAATATTTTCAGGAGGTTTCATTTTTGCACAAAAATGGTGGAGTCACGGCTTATAGAAAACTAAAAAATTATTTTTTTCTGGAATTTTTGAAGATCTTTATAAAACAACCGACATTTTAGAAGAAAATGTTGAATTCTTATATATATCCATCCCCATCTGAACACAATTTGATTTTCGTTTAATAAATACTAAACCCTTTTGAGGTCAATTTCAACCAATTTATTATTCTCGTCCAAGACGGTTTTTCTCCGCGATTTGAAGATATATTATTACAGTTAGCACAAGATCGTGATCTAGAGACGATATTTGAAGTGAATTAACTCGTCTCCGGGTGACTAGGCAGGATTAATCCTTGTTTAAAAATGGTGAAGGCGCCGGGATAGAAAATACATAATTTGAAAATTATTTGTTGCGAGAACTTTTAAAAATTTTCTTTTTGAAATAATAGATTTTAGCAGAAAATGTTGATTTCCTTTGATTTATTGCCATCTCAATACAATCAGACATCAAACCCTGATTTTCGTATCAAAAAAACTAAAACTTTTCGAGATCAATTTCATCTAATTTAATATTGTCGTCCAAGACGGTTTTTCTTCGTGGTTTGGAGGTATATTGCTAAAATTAGGACAATATCGTGGTTAGAGACGATTTTTGAACATAATTACCTCTCGTCCAAATTATTTAAGTAAGTTTAATTTTTGCACAAAAATCGTGGAGGCGCCGGGTTAACAAATAATTTGAAAATTATTTGTTTCGAGATCTTTTGAAGATTTTTTTTTCTAAAATAAT